GTTCTTTCCTCTCTTTTTTACTTAACCTCTTGTCCCACCATCTTTCTGGTTTAGTAATTCATTGCTGCTCCATTGCCATTGATTGAGCCCCACTAGGCATCCTACAACCCTCCTTCCAATGATTTTTAGTTCACTTGTTGTTCCCTTGTCCCTGGGTTGGTCCCCTCCTCCTTCCTTTCTCCCACCTCCCCTTCTCCCATAACCCGCCCAGAATCATTGGTCTGTTCTTTTCATCTCCGAATTATTTATCCCACCCATCTTATCTAGATAGACATGCAGATACAGTAATAATTGCAAAAACTAGGCAAAGCCAAATAAAACTACAAAGGAACTCAAAACCAACAAAACAATAACAACAGCAGAAAGCAAGAACAAAATAACAATAACAAAGAAAGCCACTGACCAAAAAATGGCAAAGTCTATAAATAGTTCAAGGTCTGTTTGTTGACCTTAATGAATGTTTTCCAGTTGAGTCTGATGGGGTGCCACACTCTGTCTCCCAAGTCTATTTTTGGTGTTCCCTGGAGGCTTCATCACTCTGTTCCCTCTGCTGCTCTGCTGCATTCCCTTAGTGCCTCGCCCCAGCGTGATGGGGCCAGACCATGCACTATTCCCAGTGTGTCTCCAGTGTTGTCCCCCACAGTGCCATAGTTCAGTGAGGTACGCCGTGTCCTGGGGTGGGGCCTGCCCTATGGTCCTCCCTGTGTGTTGTCTGCTCTGAGCAGGAACATCGTCCTTGGGGCTTGGTGGGCCAGGATGACCTCACCACCCTCTCCATTCCTTTGCATTTCTCATGTGTGCTCTAATCCGTCGTGCCCAACTCCCCAAGCTACAGCCCCAATACTGTCCTCAGAAGTGCATTCTTCTGAGGCGGGGGTCAGGGGTGTCCACATAGTGGGGATTGGGGCCGACCCCAAAGACTCTCTATTGGTTCCCTGGTACATGCCGGTATGTTGCATTCAGGACTTTGCGCGTCGGGTTGAAGCCTGGTGTCTCTCTCCTTCTCCTGTGGAGATATAAACAATACCCTACCCTTGGGTGGATTAGTGTCTTGCTCCCCCGCCCCCCCATGTCTTTTTTTCTCTATCTTTTCCCCTCTTATTTAGTTGGCTGCCGTATGTATCCCTGGATTGGGTTTGGCCCTGCCATAGTTGCTGGACCTCACCCAGGGAATTTATTTCGTTCTTACTGGTGCATTTCTTAGGGTTTTAGGTAGTCCAATGAAATACTCTCACTCTTTGAAGATAAGAATAGACTATAAATGTCAATCAGAGTATGATTTTCCCTCCTTTATCAGCTGTCTCATTATTCAACACTGTGCATTTACTGCAATAGTAAAAAAGGAAATATCCATTTTGTGCATGGGTTACATACATGTGATAGTAGCAAACACTGAGTGGCAAGGTATTAATAACACTGACTGTGATGGTTAAGACTCTGTCAACATGCTGGGTCATGTTTCTCAGTATTGCAGTTAGTATGAAGTACTGTAGTCATCCTCCATTTTGTTATCTGATGTGGACACCCATTTTTGCATAATTCTGATTTTTCACTTAGCTTGTTCTTTGGAATTTAACCATGTCAGTAAGTGAGGAGTGGCTGTAAGAGTGGACTTTGTCTTAGTCTAGGAAATAAGTTGTTAAACTGTAATCTTTTATAAGAGCCCCGGTGCCTTAGTGAATTATACATTAAAGTTAACAGCTTGAAACTACCAGCTGCTCCACAGGAAAAAGATGTGGCTTTCTACTCCTGCAAAGATGTACAGTCTCAGAAACCACCAGATTACAAGCCATAATTAATCAGCTGATTCACAATGTGGCCAAGAATGGAAGGAAAACCAGATCTATTGATCAATTTCTTGATATTACTGAAATGAGAGTCAAATAGTTGCTTCTTAATATGATGCAATAGAAAGCATCTGTAATATATGTATATATTTGCTCTGTCATCTCCCCTCCCTCCCCCCACACACAAAAATTAAATACCCTGAAATAATCTAATCAAGCCTCTAGAACTAATTTTCCATCTATAAGAAATATAGACTATTTTAGAAAAATTACACAGCATCACAAGGAAGCAATCAGAATGTAATAGTTAATGATGTGTGACACCTTAGCTGGACCAGGATTCTCAGTGATTTGGCATTTATCCCCTATGATGAGATTTAATGTAATAACTCCCATGGTGAAGTCTGCTGTGGCTGCTGATCAATTGAAGGGGAGTTTGTTCAGGGATGTGGCCTGCTTATGTATGTGGGCCGTCAGGCAAAGCTTGCTTGTTTTTTGTTGATTCTGTATTCTACATCTGGTTTACCATTAACCTCTGGTTCTTGAGCTAGTGGCCTGCATGCATGTTGCCTGTTAATCGTGGAAGTCATCTGCAGCCTGCCGTCTTACCTGTCGATGTAATATTCATTTGACTCTGCAGCCAGAAGCCTGCTGCCCAACCTGCTGATCCTTGGTTTCATCAGCTTCTACTGTTCCTACCTTCGCTTCTTTAGAAATGCTTCTAGGGAAAAAAAAAAAAAAAAGAAATGCTTCTAGGATTGTAATTGCTGGGACATGGTAGTTCTATGTTCAGGGTTTTTTTAGAAGCTACCAAAATGTTTCCTGCGGTGTTTGTACTATTAGAACGTAAATGGGTGAAGGCTCCAGTTTCTTTACCAGCTTTCCATTGTTTTGTTC